CACCTTGGCGCCATGATTGATTGATTTAATGCGCCATTTTTCACTTCAATGCGACTATGGCGCATGTTGCAAGCCCTTCCCAATCACTGCTGTAAATAGTCTTGAAGGTGTGTCTTTTTTTGCACAATTGCAGTCAAAGTTCTGAAAGTTTTGGGGCTATATACAACAGTTAATTTGTGACCAAACAGTTACTTCCATAGTTGCCAACTCACCCGATTTCGTCGGGTCACACCCGATTTTTCAACCCGTAACCCGATTATTTTTTATGACCCGGCGGGTCATGCTTATCACCCGATTTTTGCCGAACAACCCGAAAATCTCCCGATTTCCGGATTTGGTTCGTAAATTAGGTTGCACTTTTAACTTCCAGTTACAACCCAAGCTTAGATCTACGTAAACAATGTCGATGGATTAATCATCAGTGCAGGTGTAAACAATTAACTGGGTGTTGTTTTGACAAATCAATGTTTGAAGTCAATTAAAATGGCTTCCGATAGAACTAGATCGTTATCAGGCCAACAGGAACAAATTGAACCAAACACATGTCTCTGATTGCACCAAGAAAAAGAGAAACGATATTTATGTACATATCAAGGAATCTTGGGGAAAAAAAACTTTCATTCTAGATAAAATAAAGTGATCAAAGACAGTGTAGGCCTAACTTCAAATTTAAAACATGTTGCATGCAGTACCGGGTAGTTAATTATTTATAGAGAGAGGAAAAACAACTTCAAAACTGAATTTGGTATACTTTCAAATTTAGCAGAAACTGAAAAGGTTTTTTTTTTTGAAAAATGCACATTTACTTCAGGTCAATACTGAAATATGAAACCTTCAATTTTCATTTTTATACGCCCGTCTTAAGACGGGACGTATTATGTTATAGGCTTCATGTCCGTCCGTCCGTCCGTCTGTCCGTCTGTCCATTCGTGTCCGGCTCATAACTTGAATACTATTAGACCTAGGATTATCAAACTTTGACAGTTGATACTTCTTGGGTAGACGGTGTGTCGCGCACAAAAAGTAGGTCGCTGTGACCTTTAATAAAGATGCTATGGCCAAATATGGAAAAATCCTGTCCGGCTCATAACTAGAAAACTATTAGACCTAGAGCTTTCAAACTTGGCAAAATTATACATCTAAGGTAGAAGTTGTGTCGCTGCCTATTTCAAGGTCACTGTGACCTTGAATTTAAGTGAATTTTTTAAAAAAACTAAGTCTTTAAAATTTTTAATTTCATAATCCTAAAAAATGTAAAAATATAGTTGTATCCTTATTTAAAAATGTTAAATCAAGTAAAAACTTATTTTTTCATTATATACTTTACAGCAATCTGTAACAAATGTTAATGTTTTGAGAGGAATTCAGTTTGTCCCATGGGCATAATTATCAAACACTGGTCAAGAAGAATTTTGATAGCAGAAATTCGCATTTCAAATTAGAGAGAATTAATGAGTTTATTGTCAGGAGCGAACTGGTAGTTCAGATCTCTTATAATGCAGCTTTTATCTTTATCTTTAATCTCTTGGGAGTTGGGCAAAAAGAAATGGCCTCATAGTTGCTTGTGTTAATTAAGAGTTCTTGATGGCTAGTTCAGAAAAAGATCTTTCAATTGGTGTAATGTAATTGAAACAAATTGATGCTTTAAAATACAGTGTATAATAAAAACTAAATTAATATTGCATAATATAATTAAAACTAAGCCTTATTAAAAAATGTTAAATTAAGTAAAAACTTATTTTTTTCATCATTATAATATACTTTTACAAAAACTGTAAAAAGCAAACTGTAGCAAATGTTAATGTTTTGAGAGGAATTCAGTTTGTCCCATGGGCATAATTATCAAGCACTGGTTAAGAAAAATTTTGATAGCAGAAATTGCATGTCAAATTAGAAAGAAATTAATAAGTTTATTGTCAGGAGTTAACTGGTTGTCTAAGAGCATCTCTGTTAATTCAGCTGTTATCTCTTGGGAGTTGGGCAAAAAGAAATGGCCTCATAGTTGCTTGTGTTAATTAAGAGTTCTTGATGGCAATAGCCCAGATAAAGATCTTTCAATTAGTGTAATGTTATTAAAACAAATTGATGTTTTAGTGTATGATTAAAACTAAATTAGTATAGTATAATATAATTAAAACTAATTATACATGTGTTCATTGAAAAAAAATTACATTTAAATTTTTATATATTTGCAACAAATTGCAGTCATGTCTCACTTAGAATTTTATAGTCTAAAGAATAATGTATTTTTGATTTTTTTGTTAGACTGTAGCATTTCCATTATTCCAGAAAATTATGCAATTAACAATTTAAAGCTGCAGATGGATATTTGTTAAGTTCTAACACAGCCAGTTTAGAATTATATGATGTATTATTTGTTATAATTAATCCCTACACTGTAAGTCTCTTAGAGATGTATATATGTACAATATTTTAAACATGATAAGAAATTGAAATTAGATCATTGAAATCTGTGTCAATCTGTTAATCAAGATTATCTGATTTTTTTGCACCTTTACCAATTTATGATTATTGAACAATATATTTGACGGGCGTATCATGCTGTGGCGGGGCACTTTATTAACATGTAAATTAAAGCAAATTATGTATGAATTTTTTGTCATAGTAAATTAAATCCTTTTTCAATAAAAGAATTCTCAATACACAAATACTTTGTATATATATGTATAAAATTTAATCATGGTAAATATGTCGTGAATGTCGTTACGCGTTATGACCAGATTTTTTACTTTCCAAATCTGGTCATGACCAGATTTTTACATGCTGGAGGTTGTCAAGTATGGTTACTTCTTGAATGCAATAACAAAGAAGACCAGTTCTGGTAAACATGATAATGAATTGCTTTTTTAAACATACCTAGTATAAAATTAGTAGCCATTTACTTGTGACTATTTGTCTTTATTACTTGAAAATTAAATTTGTGAAAATTTGGATTGAAATAGCTAAATAAAGCTACCTGAGGTAGGGAAAGAAAGCTACAGTAATTCTATCTACGTAGCTAAGACTGCAGAACATTAACTGGCCAAGACTGGAAATATGCAGCTAGCACCATTTCTATCTGTTACAATCAAAACATTCAATGATAGACAATGAAATGGGCAGTACAATTCGATGCGGACAGCTGAGAAAACATTGGATTGAAATTCTAGTTTGAAATTCATTTTCAATCCACCTCAGCTACGCTAGAAGACACTTTATTACTGATTGACTGATTGACCCAGAAGACAAATAATTTCAATTTGAGTATAGTTTGAAAATAATATTTAAATCAGAATTTTCTGTTCAGCGCTTTAAGGAAATAAATGAAGGGACAAATATTTGATTTCTGTTGGGTATAATTTATGTATGTGTGCGTTTTTTTTTTTTTTTTGGGGGGGGGGGGGGCTTAATGATCTTGGAAATAAATAAGAAAGTTGTCAAACATTTTTCATTGACGACAAAACTAAAAAAGCTCTTGTCATCCTAAAAATCAATTGGTACAAAGCATAATCTGACTCGACAATCTCCTGGCCACCCTCCCCCTTTTAGAATCAAATGGCTGTCTCCTGAAAAAATGTCTTATATGACTTTAACCACTGTCCTTAAAGATTATGTTATAGACTATAAACTCATATCAATATAAATTCAACCAACATGTATTTGGGAATTTAAATTATTTGCCTTTTGGATCATACATTCACACTTTACATTTGAAAACAGCTCTGGTAGATTGAAAATGAATTTCAAACTAGAATTTCAATCCAATGTTTTCTCGGCCGTCCGCATCGAATTGTACCGCCCATTTCATTGTCTATCATTGAATGTTTTGATTGTAACAGATAGAAATGATGTAAACTGCATATTTCCAATCTTGCCAGTTTCCGCGATCAATGTACTGATTGTATTGAACCTGAATATTTTTTTGAAAGAGTCTCATAACTGCAAGGCTGTGTGCAAACAAATGGAGGAATGTGTGTTAGCTCCATGAAAGCATTATTACAAAGGGTACAACCTGCTTGTCAGAATTGATTCAAGTATAACTGGTAGGGCTGGGATGATATATCGAGATATCGATACATCGTGATATCTGTGAGGATGATTCGCATATCGATACATATGAAGAAATATCGAAATATCGCCCATGAAAATCTGACTTCTATTTTTCGTTGTTTATTTAAAACTTGGGGTTTAATATATAAAATAAATAAGTTAAATATCAATATAGATATGAAATAAATAATAATTAACACCATTTGAGTAAAATATTTTTATTTTACAACATATAAACAACTATTCTGAATAAATTATTTTTATTTGCAAAGAAATAATTTGTTTATTTCAATGCAAAAAAAGATTTTGTAAGCAATTTAACATATCGTGATACATATCTTATCATGGCTCAAATATCATGATACGTATCGATATAGAAAAAGTTGTATCGTCCCAGCCCTAATAACTGATATAAAAATATGTTTTCATGTAAATGTTTGCTTGTTTCTTTCAAAGTAGACTGTTGAGACCCTGAGATGATTCCATCGTCTGTACCTGCTGCTAATGCTTGGCTGAGGTCCAGACACATCAATGTCCCGGGGGACTGGCTGGAGGCTTGTGTAGAGTGGATTACTGAGGAAAATCAGGTCACAAACTATCTCTTGGTACAATTAGTTGGGGGCTCATTGGCATTCATTGCCATTTTCATGCAACTGTTTTGTAAAGCATATTTTTAAATGGGCAATTTTTGAGGTAGTAAAATGAGCATTAAGAAAAGTAAAAGCTTTGAATTGTAATGTCACAATAAAATGTTATTTAAAAAAAACAATCTATGACATATTTCTTAGAACAAAACACACAAAATGACGTTAACACAAACATAATTAGAGTGGGAATTTCAAAAACTAATCTTTTAATAAGGTATTTGCAGCCATTAATGCTGATTTATGGTTGCAAATACAATTGATCATTACCTGTATGTCAATTGCTGACTGACGTTTTCTGTACTTATTGTTAGGCCATTATTTACACACTGAATTGTGAATGAATTTTTTTGTTATTTCCCAATGATGACAAGGAGCATGGATTGGGAATAATCTGTAATCATATTATTTGGCATTTTTTTTAAAAAAGGGCTTAAAATTAATTGAAAAATTTTCAGTCATGATACAACCCAACTGCAGATTGATTTTAATGAGTTGAAAACCCCATAACTTGAACATATACACTGTACATGTATTGTAGGACATGGTGTACTTTGAAATTTGACTCTAGTCAGAACTTGCTCTTGTACTGAATCATTTCGGAGACTTTAAACACTATAGCAGAAATCATCCTGTTTTTCATGTAACTTATTTGAATGTCTATATTCAATTGGTAAAACATCCACAAGCATGGAAACAGATTTGTCAGACTCAGTGGCATGTTATTTTAAGTTCACTGGTTCATGGGGTCATATTTTCATGGTTTGAGGTAAATTTTTTGGTTTGAGGGGATTTGATTTCGTTGAAGAAGAATTGTTGTTTAGTAAAGTAAATATCAATTGACATTTCGTGGTGAACATGAATTCATGGGTATCTTCATACCTCGAAAACAACGAAAATTAAACCCCTACAAAAATTTGTGATTTCACAGTATGTAAAATAAGCCAAAGCAGGTGTCTTCTTCTCATCAGTTATATAGAACTCTGTTTCATAAGAATCTGTTTCATAAGAATGTAAAAAATGTGTTGGCTGATAAAAGAGCTTGCCATAGGAATTTTAGCAGGTGTTGGAAGGCCTCCTAAAAATTTGTCCTGTTTCTTATTTAGGGAGTCCAGCTCTCTCAGACACAGTTAAATGGACTGATTTTTGAGCAATGGCTTCTTGCAGACCTGCATGAGATTGGATCCAGCTGCCTACCAGAGCAAGTAACATCCTCCAAAGAAGTCCAGATTAATGGGATGTTTGCCCTACAAGTAATTAAGTATTAATTGTGGAAGGATTTAACAGTATAGTAAAATATACTAATAGCAAAATGCCAGGGATGGACAATTTTTTTTTGCAATTAACACAATTTGCTGTGATATATAATGAAATTGATAAGGATTTCTGAAATGAATACCTTGTGATTGTTTGATGTTAAGGTAGATTCCATGGTGGATGTTGGGAAACCTTACTATGGACAGTTACAGAGGGTTCAGGGAACCAGCACAGGGAACATGGAGGTCACAGCGGAACCCACTCCTCCAGTATGTAACTTCACTGACTGCTGGCTTTGTTACTTGTATACTTAGCTTCTCTAAAGACCTGGCTTTTTAATTTTTATTTGTTAAAAAAATTGACTTTGTTTTGTGCTTACATTTTGAATTAACATATATTCTGTTGTTAGTTTTGAATGATTTAGAATTTCATGCACACATTTCTGAATCTGTACATGAATTTTAACTATTAATCATTTATTTCTCATTTCATTGATTGATAATATACTGTATGTATACAAAAATTAGCATATTCAAAATTTAGCGCAATCACCAGGTATGGAGTGGTTGGTGTATTCATGAATTAGCACTACATATATAGTGCTAAAAAATACTCACATGTATATTGTCTATGAGTTTAAGTAAAATTTTAACATCTTACTCTAAATAATTTTGAAACATTGTATTAGATTATTGCTGTTCCATTAATGTGTCCATCTGGCTGAAAATAGCCTTAAGGTATTTATTGAGTGGTTGTAGTTTGGGTGTTGAACATTTTATTAACATTTACTTGTAATTAAAAACAATGAACTTCAGATTTTCTAGTCCAGGAGGATCAATAATGTGTAATTATATCAGAGTAATACATGTATTGTGTAACTAATACCACACATGCAATGTACATTATTGGGGTTCATCTATAGAGCGTATTCGAGTCGACACAGTTGAACTTAATGGTCCAAGTGACAAGTGCCAGTTATTTTAAATTAAAATTGATGCTCAAATGTGAATTTGAAAAAAATCACATTAAATATGTAATTATATTTAGGCCTTACATACATTTATATAGGCCTATTGCCTAATGAAAAAGATGAATATATCAGGCTTGGTGTTCAAGGCCTAATAAAATGGCAGATCGAAGAAAATACATGTAAATGATAAAAAAAAAACATCATATCGTATTCATTTATGAACGGTAATCATGAATTATTGCGCTGTTGGCGCCAATCACACTAAAATATGAAGCCCGCTTTTTTTGTACACATACAGTAATATTAATCAAAATAATACCTGCATACTGAGATATGATGTTAACATTCTAGTTCTTGTATATGTGAAATATACTTAAAGTTTAATAAATAAAATGACATTTTTTTTAGTGGGAACCTAAGCCAACTCGGATGATGTTGTTGAACTTGACAGATGGGAATTTCAATGTACAGGGGATGGAGTACAAACAGATTCCTAGTCTGAACAACCAAATAAAGCCAGGCTGTAAGGTAGTGGATTTAATTGTTTTGTTTGTTTGTGTGTGCTTGTAAATGAGGACCTCTCAGCCAGGGAGTCAATTATTAAATTCTGTTGAAAGGGTTTTAAATTTATATACTATAGAAGCAGAACTTTTAATGAGGATTCAATGTTGGCATTATTAGCAAAGGTTCTGAGATTGCTAAAGCTGAATATTTCTGACACTTTATTTCTGTATTTGACTTTGTTGTAAAAGATATCTCTCTTGATTATATAAAAAAACATTTAGAAAAAAAAAAATCACCTAAAAACAAAAGAAATCAAAGTAAAGCTTCCAAGGTACTTCAGTAATGCCTTTCAGTGAATTAATTTAAAAACTGAAAGTGAATTTAAGAAAGCGACATTTGAAGGTTTGTGTTTTTTAGTTTTGAAGACTCTTGCTTGTCTAATAGGATAAACAGTTTATTGGATGAATGTTTAGGAAACATGAAGATTTGTTCAGCTAAGAAAATTATATTCCCCCTCGAGCAAGCCCTTGGGGAAATTGATATTTCTAGGCTGATTATACCCCCCCGCAAACGAAGTTTGGGGGGGTATATAGGAATCACCTTGTCCGTCTGTCTGTGCAAATGTGTCCGCTCCGTATCTTTCTTACAGAGGGACATTAGAATCTATTGCTCCACACAAAGATTGCCCATGACCTAAGGGTGTGTCATGACCTTGAGCCAAGGTCATTTGGGAAACTTCAAGGTCACTGGAAGAAAAAGTTCATAATTCGTGTCCGGTCCATATCTTTCTTATGGATAAACTTGGTAGGTTCTCATTTCATACAAAGATTGCCCATGATCCAAGGGTGTGTCATGACCTTGACCCAAGGTCATTCGTGGAACTTCAAGGTCACTGGAAGAAAAAGTTCATAATTCGTGTCCGGTCCATATCTTTCTTATGGATAAACTTGGTAGGTTCTCTATTTCACAGATTGCCCATGACCCAAGGGTGTGTCATGACCTTGACCCAAGGTCATTTGGGGAACTTCAAGGTCACTGGAAGAAAAAGTTTATAGTTCGTGTCCGGTCCATATCTTTCTTATGGATAAACTTGGTAGGTTCTCATTTCACACAAAGATTGCCCATGACCCAAAGGTGTGTCATGACCTTGACCCAAGGTCATTTGGGGAGTTCAAGGTCACTGGAAGAAAAAATTCATAATTCGTGTCTGGTCCATATCTTTCTTATGGAAAAACTTACTTCTGAAAAACCCAGCGGGGGGTATTTTGTCCCGTTTGGACAGTTCTAGTTAAATCTTTGTTTCCCTTACAATATTGCAATACCAATATTACACCTTAACATTTTATGTCCCTTTCAGATCCTTGTGAAGGGTAGGGTGCGTTGTCGGCGGGGCATACTGATGTTGACAGCAGACAATGTTACAGTACTGGGAGGGGAGGTGGATTCACTAGTGGAGAGTAACACACCACAGAGTGTCCTTAAACAAGCAATGTAAGGAGCATCAATAACTTTATATAACACACCACAGAGTGTCCTCAAACAAGCAATGTAAGGAGCATCAATAACTTTATATTGGTTCTGTAAAAGTAATTTATA